TAGAGTACCGACCGGAAAGATCAGACAATAAAGAGAATACTGATGTACTTTTTGGAATTTTTCCCCTCAACTACTGAATTGGTACTGTTTATAAGTCTATATTCTTAAGAACAGTGTTACATTAGGATCACATACAGACAGTTTAACATTCATTCCTTCAATCATTCATTCATTGATTCCCTATACAAATGTTGATTGATTATCTACTATGTGTTAGGCAATCTTCAAGGCCCTGGAGACACATCTACAAATAAAATGGAATTTTTGATGCAAGGAAAGGAGCGAGAAAAGCTGAGGAAAAGTGGAAAGATGGACAATGACTGTGACCTAAGCACACATATTGTGACAAGTCAAATCAAGCTTCTTATTATGACAATAATATAATTTTATTTCAGTTATTAAAAGTACAGAAACTTTATGGAAATAGAATTACTGTATGAGCCAGTAATCCCTCTACTTGGTATATAGCCACAAGAAATAGATCCAGGACACAAGTAGACATGTGCACCCTGATGTTCACTGCAGCACTACTCACAATAGCAAAATGATAGAAACAATCTAAATGCTCATCCATGGAAGAAGGATACACAGACATTGGTATCTACATACAATGGAATGCTATGCAACACTGAAGAATAAGAATGAACCTGTGAAACACCTCATAACATGGATGAACTTGGAGAACATTAGGTTAAGTAAAATTAGTCAATCACAAAAGGAAAAGTATTTCTTCGATGTACATACAAAAAACACCCCAAAAACCCAGAGAGCATAATGGAAGCAAATGCTGTTGAATGAGGATGCATGGAGGGGATTGTAATCATTGCAATGAAGTGAAATACATTAAGATGAATGTAAAGCTGATGTTCTCCCATGTAAACTATCACTCAATTCACAATAAAAACTTTAAATAAAAAAAGGAAAACTATTGCATGAAACCATTATTGTAAAAACTCAAGAAAAGGTTTTTTCATACTAAAAAAAAATTATTTGGTGGTTGCCAGTGATGGGAGGGGAGGGAGAGTAATTCATTGGCTAGAGGGTAGACACATGTTAAGTCAATGATGGGGAGGGCAATATACAAGAAGGGGGAAGATAATATACAAGAAGAGGGAGGTGGCAGAAGAATGATGAAGACAGGGAAGTACGAAAGGACTAAAGGGGATAAAAGTAAATAGTGTTATATACACAACCTTGGAACAACAGTGTTCTGTGGGCAGATACCTGGACAGAGGCACAGGTTGGATGGAGATGGGAGGAATAATGGGCGTATACCCACAAATACATAAGAGTTTTAAAGAGGATATGTGTACATGGGTATTTACTTTTCCTGTAAACTCAACTATCAATGAGATGGAGCACACAATGGGGAAAAGGTCTTAGATATTATCACACATCTTAAAGCAATGAGTTGCTAGGGCTCAGGGCCATTGTCTCAGGGGACATCACTGTCAAGTGGCATGACCTAGTCCACAAAGACAATGTTCAAAATCCTACTTTGGTGAGTAGTGCCTGGGATCCTAAAAGCTCATGAGAAATTAACTGAGATACAGCTATTAGTCTTCACATGTAAAGAAAGAAGAGTGATGAGAACTGAAGATATTCAGAATCAATTAGTCCAACAGACAAAAGGAACCTATGAACATCAGTCTCCATGACTCTGAGACCAAAATAACTAGATGGTACCCAGCTACCACTATCAACTACTCTAAAAGGAATCACATTAGAAAGTCCCAGATAGAGTGGGAGAAAATGTGGAATGAAACTCCTAATTATTCAAATAAAAGACTGGGATTATTGGTCAGAAAGAGACTTCTTCACCCATGCTTCAGGTATGGAAAGGAACTCACTCTCATGGCCCAATTATTAGCCAAGCAGTAGATATGCATATAGGGGAACAACAAGATGCTCACCATGAAATGGTTATTCAAAATCAAAACGGCAACATTTACCTAAGGACAAAGTTGAGAAGGGATTGGAAGGTGGGTGGAATGGAAAGAGGAGGACGCACAGGGAGGATGAAGGATAACTGTTGTTTCATGGAGTGAACTGTAAACACTGAGATGAAACAAAGCCTATGATTTGCTGAATATAAAACTGCTGATCTTGTTTGTAAACGTTCTCTCAATTCACAATAAAAACTTTTCAAAAAATCTACTGAAAAAAACTTTAAAATTAATCTAATACAAATACTTCTAATGGAATGATGGCATTTGAAATACTTACAGATTTGTATCTTACTAATGCATGTATTCGAAGTGCAACATCTTATGGATCAACCCAATCAGACGCAGACCAACAATACTCTTCTATCATTTAAGTGTTGAGTTGTGAGATCATAACAAATGATCTTGAGATCACTTTCAGCATATTTAATTTTATGGACTATAAAACACTTCACTAGTGGAATAGTCTGCCAAGTATATTAAATCTACTCCTTATAATGCTACACAGAGCCAAAAGACTTCATAATATTTGAGCATTACTATTATTACTGAACATTTTAATTTTTATGGTTTTACTTATGATAATTACTTCAAATTAAAGCCATCTTGAGAAAACTGCCACTTCAAAGAATCAAGTCTATTTAATCAATTTTATTTTTCTCATGATGATTTTTCATTTTTGCCTCGGTTCCTCAGGGAACCTTAGAATAAGGCACTTTAGATTCTATTTCAAAGTAAATTTGTTAATAAAGAGATTAAATAAACAAAATGGACAAACAGATATAAATGAAAGATATATGCTGTATGATTTTCCATTTCACATGGTATATTATTATGGCTCAGATTAAATAAGGACTAACAAGCAATCACATAAAGGTGGTGACTGTGTACTGTGGAGTTGGTTCCAACACATAGTGACCCTGCATAGGGTTTCTGCAGCTGTATATCTTGCAGGAGCAGAAAGCCTCATCTTTCTCCTGCAGAACAGCTGGTAGTTTCAAACTACTTACCTTGAGGTTAGCAGCCTGATTCACAACCACGATGCTATCAGAGCTGGTAATGATAACTTAACATTTGTATGGTGCTAGATAGTTTGACTTGTATTTTCTCTTTTTAACATCAAACTGAAAAAAGGTAACTATGGTGACACACTGTAGGATAAGCACTGTTCATACTCACCAGTCACTCCTCAGAAATTCTATACAGGGTCACTATGAGTTGGAACTGACTTTACAGCATTTAACAACAACAACAAAGGCTTAATGATGAAAGAAACATGAAAAAAAAAATGATTTCATAAATATTGCATATGTCTATTGTACATTGAACCCAGACCTTTGAACTAAAAAAACTCAGTTTTTATTCATGTTTTCAGAAAGAGCATTCAATTCATGGGTCAAATTCTGTGGGCAAGACATTTCCTAAGGGTAAATAAAATATATGTGAATGAACTCTAAACATTCCACTCACCTACAGTGTTATCATACTGCCATTGAGAAAGTCAGTGTATTTTCCAAATGGACCAGTTAAGCATAAGGAGAAGCTTATTTTCCTGCTAGGGTCTAGAAACTGTTCATCAAAACCACTTTCTTACACAGTAATAAATACACTTCACTACGATATCTTTCATCATGTCCACAGATAAACACTTTATTCTTTAACAATCGTATTGTTTAAAGGATTCTTATTTCACTATAAAAACAATAAAACGAAGAAGTGAAAATAGTAATAATATGGAATGGCACTCTTACTACCTTATGTATTTTTTCTATGCAAACATATGCATATTCAACATTTGCATCATAGCCTCTATATAGTTTGTCTATTACTTACATGTAAAAAAGAGCATGGGGTTATTTACATCTTGAAAAAATGATTTTTTTAAGACAGCATAGTATTCTTTCGGGTGGTGGTATTGTAGTTTATTTTACTATTCCTGTAGTTTACATCAGACAAAAGAGTGAAATCACAACTGATAATTTTTGTCTAATAAGACACTATTATTTGGCTTCTCATTCTCATCTAGTCTTTCTTCATACGCCTAAGATTATGTTATAATTAAAGCACACATAATTTTATAGCTTGAATTTGTTTCCATCATCTTAGTATCATTTTTCATCAACTGTGGCATATTGGGTGGAAATGCCATACTTTACCCCTACTTTGCTTTTAAAAATAAACACTTTGCAATAAAATTGCATTCACATAGTTTTTATCTCCATCTATTCCATTAAAAACATTGTTTTTTAAGAGTAGATTCTGTAAGTAAGATTACTACAAAAAGAGTGGCAGCATTTATCATTTTTCTGTACATTAATAAAAAGAATCTAAAAAAATATGAATATTGGGAACCTGGACCACAAAATATAAATAGCATCCTTCTCTTAGTTTTTTATGAATTAGTCATTTCAGTGATTGTGAAACAAAAATATATGCAAAGTTACTGATTTCCATAAACTGGTATCACTAGTCTTGAGATAGCAGTAGCCACTTCAATATACTCACATTTTTGTTACTTTGTTTAGTTTTCATTTATTTCTCTTTTAAAAACTGCCTCTACATGGAGAGATAGAGCAGCTGAGGACTCTAGACTCAAGAAAAAAGGAAGACTGTGTGCTGGTGGCAAGGAAGCAAGTTTGCAGAATGTGCACATTGTTTGTTTAAATGATTCTATATTCCTGAGTGTTTTTTGTGTTTACCCCACCCTAAATAAAAACAAACAAACAGAATAGAAGCAAATGCTGTTGGATTGTAATCATTGCAATGAAATGATGAGTGTAAAACCAATGTTCTCCCGATGTAAACTATCACTCAAGTCACAATAAAAACTTTAAAATAAATAAATAAATAAATGTGATAGTACATTTAAAAAAAAAAAAAATGCAAAAGACTGCCTCTGCATATTTTTGAGGTATAGCTTAGCTGAGATTCCCAATCTTAGATGCAGGTTTAGAAATGTTTTCTGAAACTGCTTCCTTTGTGGAGTCCTCTGAAATCCACAACTGGAGACAGGAGTAATTCTGATATAAGGATAAAGAAAATATCCCAACTTACCGTTTCCAATGCATTTACACGGTCCTGCAAAGAAAGCATAATATATAATTATAAAAACAAACTATTAAAAAATTCAGTTTACTGAATTTTCAAGTTGTCCATTTATTTTCCATCAGTAATGTATCCATTTTAAAATGTGAAAAATAAAAATTCCTACTCAAATTTATCTCTACAATAAGAACATCATGAACAAATCACCATACCTTTTATCATTTCAGCTAGTGTTGGGGCCATAGGGTTTAATTTTGAAGTTTAATAGGAAAAACCAGATATTCAATGGTTACTGAAAGGACAAGATCTTACTATTTCTGTATTGGTAAAATGATTTCTCTAGATAAGGATATATAAATATCAGACAGATTTGAATATATGAACCACGTTAAGGAATAATGGCAATATGCAAGTACACAAGGGAGTTTCCAAGATTTAAGTTTAATTGAAGAAAACAACACTTGGCAAAGATTTGACTCTCAAAAGCCAATTGTTAGAATTTAGCATATGTACCAGACTCAAATAGATATATAGAGCAAAATATGGTCTCACAGGGAGGTACAAGTTCAGACATAATAAGAACTTCATCAATAAAAATTACTAAGTAAATTGTTATTGAAAGCAAGCCTGGAAAAAATTAAGGAAAACACTAGGTCCTGTGGTGTTTTCCCTGCAACCAACCCTAAATCCATGTAGGCCTTGACTACCTACAGCCTCTGAGAAATTTAGCATTCTAGTTTTCAAAGAGGTGATTAATAACATTTGTTTAAATTATTTTGGAAAACATCTTCTCTATAGTTCTATTCTGATTCCCTTCCAGAGGTAACAGCTACAAACAGGAAGTCTTTAAGAAAGGTTGAATTTGGGAGAGAGGAAAGTGAAGTAAAGTTAAAAAAAAAAAAAAAAAAGTAAAGTTATCATTTCTCAGAAAGCCAAAGCTATGTTTCTTCCTCTATTCCTACGTTAAAAAGTTGGAGAAGTCTCTGAAAGAGCTATTTCTTTTTGGCTTAGTCAAATTGGTTAGTCATTTGTCCTAACAGGGACAAGGAGAAAAATATTGCAAAGAGCTATTCAGCTCAGAATTCTTGTGATCATGCACAGATTCCCAAAGACCCCTACCACTTAGGGGTGGAATGAACTTAACTCTTACCTGCATTCTCTCAGCATCACCTACATCATGGGGAACCTTATGCATGTCTCTAGGGCTTCTGAAACTCAATCTCCAACACTCAGACTGGGTAACTGAGTTGAGGATTTTTACCCATTAAACATTTGGCTATGTGGCCATCAATTTAAATGAGTATATTAATGCAAAACCACAGCAGACGGTTTTCAGCAATATAAGTAGTTTAATTGCATTTTTTTGGCTAAGTTGCGAGGACCTCACCCTCACCCCCATGATTTTCATAAGATAACTGATATTTTTTTGGCGACTTGTGCACTGTCACTTTTGAGCGCTTCATAATAAATGCACATGATGCCTCAAGGGAGCTGTGAGCTCTGGTTACTAGGCATTTTTATTCACAGTGCATCTGGGACAAAACCACTCAGCAATGCTTTATCATTCTTCGCCGCCTGAACAGAACCATTCATTAGTGAGAGATAATCTTTGGGCAGTCTCACATTTACAGCAACTATATAAGAAGGCTGAAAATATTTACAGCCCCTACTGGAGAGTCTGTTGAAAGCATAATCTTCCCAAGAAAATGTACATTATAGAAAATTCAAACACACATACAGACATAATTTTACATATACTTTTAGGAGAATCACAGACTTTCAAAAGTCCATCCCTGAGCCTGTAAGTCTTGTCCCTACAAATAAAAACACCTGAAACAAATTGTATAGCATATTATATAACCAAATTAGTTCATTAAACTAAATCTATTTATTTCACTTTTGTGAAAGATTTCTATGTAATTAACAACAATGACAAGGAAAGGCACAATTTTGACCATAAAGTCACAATGAACAGATGAAAAATATGAAACTCTAAGTATAGAGGATTAAACATAAATCAAAGGAAGGAATTTTTAAAAAATGATTAAAAGAAAGTTCTTAGTGTAAAAAAACATTTTGTTTTCTGTTTGTGTGTGTGTGTGTGTGATCACATGGTTGTGTAACACTATAGTCTCATTCCTACCAAGGAGGGGAAAGTGCAAGAAACAACCAAAATGTCAACAAATAGTTTGATGTTTATTTTTAAAGATTATACATCAACTCACTTCAAAGTTACTGAGTTACAATGGAGAGTATGAATGTCTGTTTCTATCAATAACTAAATATTTTATACAAGTTCAAAATGAAGATAATGTTGCTAAACATCACGTTTTAACTTGTTTCTTTTAAATGAGAAAATAAAAATACTAATATTCCAAAATAGCCACTCTACTATCTTAGGTTTTTTTTTTTTTTTTTCTATGAAAAAATAAGCATATCCAACATTTCCTACTCAGATCAAGTAGATCAAGTCAGCGAGTCATATTTTGTCAATAAACTATATAGCATATGCACTACAAAAGGGGGCATTTTCGTTTTTAAGATAAAGTTAGTAATGTGCCTTCAGTTGCATATATTCATTTGCTACTTGGTTACAGCTGGATCTACATTAGAATCCATGAATGAACCAAGACATAATACGCATTAGGATTACTGATGGGCAAATATTTACAGGCCAAGTTAGGAAATGAGTGCTAAATGGATCACTAGTATCTGAACACCTGATCATTAGCAATTTATTTGATTATACTGAACCAATCAATTAAGTACCCTGAATTATCATACTATCTAGCAGATGAACAGAAAGATCTATAGGGCTAAAAAAAAAAAAAAAAAAAATCAGGTTCTTCTGCTACTGGCAAGAATGTTTTCAATATATCGTTAGCATATGAAAAAGAATGTTGTTGTTGTTATGTGCCGTGGAGTCAGTTCCAACTCATAGCGACCCTGTACAAGGTTTCCGATGCTGTAAATCTTTATAGGAGCAGAAAGCCTCATCTCTCTCCTGCAGAACAGCTGGACATTTCTAACTGCTAACCTTGCAGCTCACAGCCCAATTTGTAACCGCTACGCCACCAGAGCTCCTTGAAAAAGAAATGTTACTGGCATAAAAATATAAGAAGAGTATCCTTTCCAAGTCTAAGAAGCTTTAACAATATAGAACAATTCTGGAAACTCATTTGAAACTAAAGGGTTACAATGGACATACAATTTTCAAATAGAAATCCACAGTGAGGACTCATATCAGTGTTCTAAAACACAAAGCCCCTCTTCTGTAGGACAACTCTACTACTCTTTTCAACTCACAGGCTACCCTTTGCTGTTCTTTCTGCCAGCAGCAACTCTGTTTAATCAGAATTCACAGCTTACCTGTTACATCCTATGTGAAGGACACAGAAGGAAATGTAAGTATCTTTTCCTGTAGTCATTTTTCCACGTGACAATCCATTGCATTTAACAAATTGTCAATTGTTATTTAAATAAGTAAAGGAGCTAGAAACAGTTATAAGCGTTTTATTCTCTAAGCTTCAGGATATTAAAGAAGATACTGAAAAATCAGTATTACAGGATTTAAAATACATGCAAACAATATAGAGAAATGAAATTGCAAATAGCTTCAATATTGCAACTTCTGTGCTGCAACACCTATATTTGGCATAAATTGGCTTTGAAGATACCAAATGCATCAATAGTCTATACATAAAACTCCATGTCATCTCTTTAAAGACAAAAAAATCTCTCCATATTTCAGAAAAAATTTATTAGGATTGATGGTATAAAAACATCTTGCAGCGGTTTCCCAAAGTTGTTAAGTGCCATCCAGTCGGTTCTGACTCATAGCGACTCTGTATAGGGTTTCCCAGGATCGGCAGATGAGCTTAAACTGCTGATCTCATGGTTCAAACAGACTTTGCAGTGTAGGGCATTAACCCACAGCGCCACATCATCAGTGTTTAATTTAGCCATCATTAGAGACCATATTCAAACTTGGTTAATTCATTTCATAGCTCCTTAAATGACCTTTTCAAATCACCTACCAAATAATAACACAACAGAAATACAGAAAAGAAAATCACAGCAAACTATTATGATTTTGTCTAAACAATTATCAGTTAAAATTTTTTTAACTTATCAAAAAAACCAAGTTTAAATGGATATATCATGTTCTAGAAAAATGTATCAATTTTTGTACAGTATTGTTGCTGTTATGTGGAGTGGAGTCGGTTCCGACTCATTGCGACCCTGTACAGGGTTTCTGAAGCTGTAAATCTTTATGGGATTAGAAAGACTCATCTTTCTTCCGCAGAGCAGATAGGATCATCAAAAACAAGGGAAGCCTGCAGGGGGATCAACAGACATATTAGTCACAGCGATGACATACCAACAACCATGAAAATGGTGCAATGCAAAAGGACTGGAAAATGTTTTGCTCTGTAGCCCAGAGTCAGGTTAAATTGATAGCAACCAACAACTACAAAAACATCACGTCCCATTTTAGAGGGAGAACTCAGTCCTCTATCATGTTACCTGGTTTTCACTCCAGGTGTGGCAAATTTCAGATAGAACCAGAAGCAGAAACGATTTTAGATTTCAGAACAAAGTCAAAGTATGCACTTTACATTTCTGATCTGTTCTCTAATGACTGCCATTTTCATGATAGAGATCCAAGGGTTGCTAGTTGTTCTTCTATAGCTTTTTCAGTTATATTCTCAGGTTTGTGTTTGTGTTTGAAATGAAGTTATTACTGACCATTACACTTCTGTCTGGAGTCCTAGTGTGGAGTGGGAGGATAATGCACTGGACCGCAAAGTCGCTTTGAACTGCAAGGTCGGCGATTCAAGCCTATCGGCTGTTCCTTGGAAACGCTATACAGGGCCGCTGTGAGTTGGAACCAACTCAGAAGCGCTTAACAACAACAATAACAACACTTCAGTCCTGATAATACAGTGGGTTAACTATTGGTTAATCGCAAGGTCAGCAGTAGGAAACTACCAGCCACTCCGTGGGAGAAGATGAAGCATTTTGCTACCCTA